TTACATTTGAACAAAAAGTGGCATGTCGAAAATTATGACGAATAATTTCGGGCTTGACTGTATATATTTAGTACTTATATATACTGTACAGTGTCCTATTGTGTGCACTCAGTACACAGTCCCTGGGCACGACCGACAGTCAGCCTGGGTATTGGCCAAGTGACGTACACTAGACTGTTTTGGTTTGGACCATTGACTACAAGCTAATAACTAGCTTGCCATTTACAAATCCCCCAATCAGTCAACACCATGAAGCAACCAACCCCAGACCCAATCTGACCTGTGGCCCTGTGCTGGGTCTCATTCCTTCTCTCTCTCACCCCTTTCTTGTCACTCTACAGCTGTTGCTATCAATTAAAAAGGAAAAAAAAAAAAAGCCAAAATATAAAAAATAACATTAGCTGTTGCACACTGTAGTAAAGAGGAGAGAGAAAGGTCTCAGGAGCAAGCATAAACGTCACATCCTTTGGAGGTTCAAAGAAAAAAGATCTGCATGCCTACACAGAAACACATATAAATCAGTTTACAGCCAACTGGAAAAGTCGGGGAAGGTCTATTTTTATGCTATGCTACAACCTGTTCTCTCATTGCAATAAAAAGTAATTAATAAATAAAAATAACAGTAAAATGCTTTGAAATCTTACATATGGAACCTTTAAATCAATAGCTGGCTTATGAAGATAAAAAATCTCTTTGAGCTGACAATATTTCCCTGCTACATGTGTCCCTGTAGAAGAAAGTGTGTTGAGTTTTAAGGCAGTTCATAATCAAAGCCTCTTTCAGACATGCACCCCCATACGTCAATATGACCGTCTCATGTCTGGAATAAGCTCCCTAGTCACTTCTATTTAACAGTCTTGACAGCAATCTTGCCAGGTCACATCTTGTAACATTTCTATATCACATTCAAAACGCTGAAGTCTGAATCGAATGCTGTCAGATTAACCTTGTGCTGCTGCAGCCTTTATATTGAACATGCACAGAGAGAGAAACATGCAGAGGGAGCGACAGAAATTAAATGCACATCTTGTACCGCCTTCTAAGATCATTGTAATAAATGTAATATTGTCTCTAATGTACAGAATCAGTTTAATAAACTGTGAAACACTGTGAAAGAGCCATTCTTCAGGGTTGAGTACACTGATCTTCTCATATCAGATTAGTCTTTTCCAAAAGAGGTGAAAAACAATCTTACGATACTAATGTGACCAACAACACAATATTAAACTGGGAAACATATGTATGAAATATATTCAAAAAATAAAACAAATTGAAATTATTTTAAGAACAGAATACAGCATCTTTCTTTAA